CGAGACTTCTAAAAAAATAATTATCCTTTTAACCATTTAGTTAGCTTGGTTCATGCTATATTCAATAATTTCTTAACGAATTCATGATTGTTGGAATTTATGAAAATATTATATTAAGTCTAGGCTTGTAAACGAATCGAACGAACATGAACGAGTGTGTGTTCATGCTCGTTTGTTTAACTTTAGCCAAACAAACGAACCAACACGAACAATTTAACGAACATAATTTCTAGTGTGTTCGTTCTTAAGGAATGTAGTTTGTTCGTGTTCGTTAATATTTGTTCGTTAAAATGAAAAACAAACACAAACGAACGAATGTAAATGAATAAACATAAAATTAATCGGTTTATATTTGAGAAGAGTTTTTCCTTGCCAAATAATTTTTGGGTTTATATTTTATTTAATTGATTTAGGTTTTTTGGGTTAAAATTAATTAGATTTTAAAATATTAAAGAGTTTAAAGTTAAAATTTATTAGGTCTTAATATTTTAAACGGGTTTGGAGATTAGGCCGAATATAAATGAACGAACATAAACGAAAGGATTATCGAACATATATGAACGAACGAGTCTTTTGTCCGTGTTTATTCATTTAATTAAACGAACATAAAATTTTGTTCATATTCGTTTCTTTAATAAATAAATGAACTTCCTGTCAAATAATTTATGAACGGTTCGCTGAAAATTCGATTAGTTTACAAGCCTATGCAGCAGAGTTAAAATCAAAACGGGACAGCTTTGACTCTCCATAATAACTCTGCAATTCTTTATCAGAGTTAAACAATATGCATCAAACTAATAACAAGAGATGGAATAGCTCGGTTGGCTAGAGCGTGTGGCTTATTAGCTTTAGAACGTGATGCTAATATAAACGACGTTTATGTTTGTTCATTTAATTTTTCATCAAATAATTAGATGAATAATTTTTTTATTTATGTTCGTTAATGAAGAAATTTAGCTTGTTCTTATTCGTTCATATTAATTCATTAAAATAATAAATGAACACAAACGAGTGAATATAAACAAACATAAAAGTGAATATAAATAAACAAACATAAATTTGAGAAGATATTATTCTTTTCTTATAATTTTAGGATTTATATTTTCTTTAATTGATTTGAGTATTTTTTATTTGGGTCTAAAATTAAATAGATTTTAAAATATTAATGAGTTTAAGGTTAAAATTTATCAGGTCTTAATATTTCAAACGAATCTAAAGATTAGGCTGAATATAAACAAACGAACATAAACAAACTGATTATCGAACCCTCACGTAGTGGCGAATCTAGAAAAATATTATTGATTGGTCAATTACATATATAATCTTTCAATTTAAAAGTTTAATAACAATTAAAGAGTATAACTAAAAGTTCTAAAAAAAACTTTAAATTTTATGTGAAAAATACATAGTTCAAAATATAATATTTTCACCAATTAAAATTAACTCTCATTTTCATAGAACCAAACTCATCTAGAGATAAAATATACTAAATAATTTTAATTGAATAAAATACGATATGATAAGTATATTTTAAATTTTTTAATTATAATCTTGTAGGTAATATTGAAAAATTGTTAAAGAAACAACTAATAACGTCACAGGTTCAAAAGTAATTAAAGAACAAAATATAAATAAAGCAAATTTTTTTTAAAAAAAAAAAACTGTAGAAGAATATAAAAAAATTCAAAATCTCAGTAAAGATATTTGATTTCTTTCATGTTTTTAAAAGAATTCTTTGAATTAAAAAAGCACATAGTGAAAATAAATAAATAAGACAAATATAACATCATATTATATAAATTAGAAGAGCAAACAACTCTTAATTTAAAATTTTAAAGAGTTAAAATTATAGTTAAACTTGAAATAAAATAGGACTCTAATTAACTTAATTTTGATTACATAAAATTATAATTAAAATTAAATATAATAAAAGTATTAAAAAAATTTCTCTTGGGCATGGGGTCAGGCCTACCTCCGCCCATGCGTTCACAAACATAAATAAAGGAACGAGACATTTGTTTGTGACGAACTTCCCTTCGAACGATTCACAAACGATTCGTCCATCATTAAGTTTGTTTATTTTTTTATACAAAAAAAGTTTACATAAAGGGTGGCTCCCCAGTCTAGGGTCAGTGCATAATTAAGACTCTATTGAGATTTACGTAGGAATTACATGTTACTCACCAAGAGTGAATGTGATAGAATTCAAACTTGACTTTACAAACTAAAATTCCTAAACCTCAACCAATTTTACTAACGATAAAATAACTTCAGTGACCGAAAATGCCTTATAATATACGATTTTAACCAACTTTTTTTAGATTTACGAAAATGACCAACAAATTAGTAACGCTGTTGCTAATTACCGACATAGGTAAACACTACTATCGCAACGCGATTTTCAAATTCGCAACGTTATTTTTACAAATTGAATTCGCCAATTTCGCAACTCAATTACCGATATAGGTAAAACGGTAGAAAAAATCCGGTAAAAAAAATCCGAATTCGACAATTTGAAAACTGAGTTACGAATTTGGTCAATGAATTGAACAAACACGAATGATGGTATGTTCATGTTCGTTCGTTTAACTTTAACCAAACAAACGAACTGCCGAAATGAAATTTTCTTTAAGAGGCGATATTTTACATTTCGCAACACGAATTTGTCAAATTCGTAACTCAGTTTTCAAATTGGTGAATTCGGATTTTTGTCCGGATTTTTTCTACCGTGTTTACCTATGTCGATTATTAATTTGCGAAATTGGCGAATTCAATTTGTGAAAATAACGTTGCTAATTTAAAAATCGCGTTACGGTAGTAGTGTTTATCTATGTCAGTAATTAGCGTTGCGATTTTCCTATTCGCGTTGCGATAGTACTGTTTACCTATATCGGTAATTAGCGTTGCGATTTTGGAACCTGTGTTGCGAAATTGAAGTTCGCGATGCGAATTTGTTGGTCATTCAAATCCAAAAAAATTAGTTAAAATCATATATTATAAGACATTTTCAGTCACTGAAATTATTTTATCTTGTACTAACCCTATCGGACATTAAGTTCGTTTATTTAATACGTTGTAACCTTTAAATACCCGGATGAATATAAACTCAAATTAAGTAATTAGGTTGCAAGGGCAGTTGTTAGGAGTGGGGCCACATGAGCACCTAGGAAATGGTGGCATTCCTCAAATCTGACACCAATCATGTGCCCTTTGGGGATCAACATTGTGTTTTGGTTCTTTCATTTTTCAGTTTTTTATTATATTTTTCTACTTTTAAACGTTTTAAAAGTGACTATATATATATATATATAATCATTTCATTACTTTTTTTCTCTTCATATGATATTTTTTACTTCAATTATATTCGAATTATTTTTCTTTGATATTTGAATCGATTCATGTTATGGTTGTTTTTTTATATATAAATATGTGATACATTTTCATTAAAATTCTATAAATAAAAGATATAAACATATCTTTTATTTAAAAATTCAGCCTTAAATATATTTAATCTAAATGAGTATTAGGTCTCATGATGAAAACGACTTTAATCATGTTCAAAAGTATCAATCATGACGTAATGAAATAATAACATTTTTTATTGATTAAAATCATACACAAAATAATTGAAATAATCGATAAAATAATTTATTTATTCTAAACTTGTGTTTTGATTATTAAAAGAGTTAAGTATTGTAATCATTCATTGAAGGAATAAACAAGAGATCCACGTAATACATAAGAAAAAGACCAAAGTGGAGTATTGATTAGAAAACCCACCAGCTAAAACAAACAAAACTTAATATCATATCAAGCTCTCCTTGTTTAAATATAATAATAATAATAATAATAATAATAATAATAATAATAATAATAAAATTAACCGTCAATGTTTATCAAAAAAAATATAATGATAAATTTAATCGCCAATGTTTATTTTATCCTTTATTCTATATTTCAGATATTTTGGTCTTTAACGTTTTATTTTAAGATAAAAATGCTTTTTACATTTGATAGAATAATCATTTTCTTCCTTATTTTTTTTCTTCCGGGACATTTTAACCCTTAATGTTTTATTTTAGGTTAAAAAAATTATTATTTTGGAGCATTAATAATGTGTTAATTAATAGTTTTTACTTATAGAGGGAGCTTTTTGCCCTAAAGTGAAATGTTGAATGTTAAAATATTCCAACAAAAATATGAGCTAAAATGATTATTTTGATAAACGTGGAGGATTATTTTTAGCACTATACCTTTTAGAAACTTGTGATTTAATTTTTTTTTAATATGAAGTGATTATATGATATGATATTATTTAATTTATTTAATTATTTAATAATAAATTTTCAAACAACTATATAAATGCCGTACTTGAATCTAAAATATAATAATTATCTTTAATTATTGATATCATTTGATTCGATGAAAATAATTTAGTATCTAATTCAGTGAACATGCATATCACACAGACCCTCTCTTCGATTCTAGCCTATTTAAACAACAAAAAATTCCAAGCAAATCAAACATCAAAACTTCAATCTTTGAAAATTGAAAGGAAGTCGAGGCGTTAACAAATGGAGACCCAAAAATGAGGGCTGTTACCAGCAGTAAAAAGTTAAAACAATATCAGACAAAGCTTTTTATCACGATCTTTAAGGTACGACAATCTTAATATACGATTAAATAAAGACGTTACAGAAAATATTAATTTTTTTAATATTTTCGATAAAGTACTACCTAAAATATTATTTTTTATATAAAAAATATTAATATTAGACTTTACTTAAAATATTATTTTTTCTACAGAAATTAAATAACAAAATTAATATTTCTAATAAAAAATAATATTTTAGAAAAATATTAAAAAATATTAATATTTTCGATAATATCGTATATTTACGCTGCCGAGCGAAACTATCCGTTTTTTACCAAAATACCCATTTGTCCAACTCTGTAAATTTCCCACCTTTTTATCTACTTTTCCCTTTCCCACCCAACGCTACTCTTTTTCTATTGATTCCCATTAACTTCAGCGTTACGTTCAAGCTTTTCCATCCTCTTTTTTCGCCAAAAAAAATGGTTGGCGGTGATGGGGCGGAGCAATTCAGAGCAGCAAGCACCGCCGGCATAGCACCGTCGGATAAAGCGGCGAGTTTTAAGGATGTGGGCGCGTGAATTTATGATGGGATTGCTTGAGATGAGCGTGGAATTCGGGAGAGGCTGTAGGGATGTTGTGCGGCAGAGTTTAGTCACAGAGGATTCGTTCTTAGTGAGGAATTTTGGTAAGGATTCTTACATGGGTCGAAAAATCAAGGTTCCTAAAGACAATGTTTTGAGGAGGCTAAGGTCGTTTAATGAGCACTTGGTTCCAGAAGACAAAGATCCTTTGCATGCTTGGTCTGTGATTCTGTCCGTCTTTGTTCTTGCTCTTGCAGGTACTGGTAATTTCTTTCTTGGCTAGATCAATCATGGTTAATAGCAATAATTTCTTTAGATTTAAGATTCAAATTCAATAGTTTCTAAATGTGGATATTGTTCACTTCATTGCCTCGCAAATAGGAATGGACTTAGGATTTTATGTTAGGACCAGGATTTAAATTGCGGTTGTTGTCGTATTTTCTCGGTTGTGTTGTGTTTATTGCAATTGGAGCAATAGCAGGTGCTGTTGCTGTCATTTCCGTTATGCAATGATGGTTTCGAACGCAATATTTACGGCTATATAACGTCCACTATTTGAGTAGCTGACGGCTACTTAAGTGGGCAAAAACATATTATCAATAGAAAATACTAAGAAAATATATAAAATATATGAGAATTTAAAAATTCCAGGGACGGTCCTCTCTCTCTCTGTCCATCACTGCCCGCAAACATGTATAGTCTAGTGTAAATGAAAAACAATTGAACATTATCTGCTACGATGTTTTGCTACTGCCACTGCTCGGCCTATGTTTTCGTTTCGATGGCAGATGATGAATGACCAAGATGATGCATTCCTTTTTATTGTGTTTTTCATTGATCAATTACTGATAAAAGGAAGCATTCTTGCAGTCTTGAGTGCAAGTATAGAGCATGATACTGCAATCCCAGTGGTGAAGAAAGTGTATATACACCCTCCGAGTGCGGATCGAATAATTCTACCGGATGGTAGATATATGGCGTATAGAGAACAAGGTGTTCCAGCTGATAGAGCTAGATTTTTTATGATTGTTCCTCATTCGTTTCTTTCTTCACGACTTTCAGGTTTGGGATACAAAAGTTAGAATATATAAGAAATTGGTTTTATTGAGCCATATGTGTTCATCAATTCACTATTAATTTTCTCCGTTTGTGTCTTTTTGCTACCTAAATAATAGGGATTCCCGGACTTAAGGCTTCGTTACTGGAAGAATTTGGTGTGCGGTTGTTAACATATGATCTTCCGGGTTTTGGTGAGAGTGATCCTCACCCATATCGGAACCTCGAGTCATCAGCATCGGATATGTCGTTCTTAGCAAATGCCCTTGGTGTTAGTGACAAGTTTTGGGTAGTTGGATACTCAACTGGTAGTTTGCATGCCTGGGCTGCTCTCAGATATATTCCCGATAGAGTTGCAGGTACTAATTTTATTTAACTGAAGCAACTTAAGTTTTTACGACTGAGAGTTAATCGTCCTTGATTCACCATGGCTAATTTTGCAGGTGCAGCTATGTTTGCTCCAATGGTTAACCCCTATGATCCACTGATGAATAGAGGGGAAAAATATGGAACCTGGGAAAAGTGGTCTCGGAAAAGGAAATTTATGTACTTTTTGGCTCGAAGGTTTCCTAAATTTCTATCTTACTTCTACAGACAAAGCTTCCTCTCTGGAAAATATGGTCAGATTGATCAATGGCTAGCATTGACCCTGGGTAGAAGGGTGAGTGATTTTGTACACTATGAACTCAGGTTCCAGAAATCGGTTAAGTACAGTGCATCATATACAATTTTTTGTTTGGAAGAGAACTCCATGTTCTTGAATGTGGAAATACATGATATTATAAGCAAGTTACTAGTTTTTTTCAGCATCGCACTTGTCGAACATATACTCTAAAATTTTATTTGTTGTTTTTCCAGGATAGGGCTTTGATAGAAGACCCTATCTATGAAGAATTCTGGCAAAGGGACGTTGAAGAATCAATCCGACAAGGAAATGAGAAACCTTTCATGGAGGAAGCTGTATTGCAAGTCTCTAATTGGGGATTCAGCCTTGCAGACCTCAAATTGCAGAAGAAACAGAGAGGGAAAGGCATCTTGAATGTGATCAGGTCTTTGCTAAGCGGCTCTGAGGAAGAATATACCGGTTTTCTTGGTCCGATACACATATGGCAGGTATATTTTCATCCTATGTTGCTCCGACTCTTCATTTTTCTTGAAGTTCTCTTATTCTTCGTTTGTGTCCAACTCATATTTAGACATGGATATGGGTATATTATCCTCCAAAGACCCTCCAAAGACACGGAAAAACGTTTAGAATATGAGCATACCAATGTCAGAAAATACCGACACGCACTCACACTTGATTCCGAGTAAACATTGATTCCATCCTTTTATTCATACATTGTTGCTGCGTTGAACTGTTCTGTTACACTTTTTCCTATTCCTTGAAGCATCCGTGTTCGACCTCTGTGTCCAACACATGTGGATATGGATATAACCCTCCAAATGTATGAAAAAACTTGGAAAATTTGAATATACTCATGTCAGACACAATACTCGTACTCGACACTCAAACTTGAGTCCGAAAAAACAAAGCCCTTGGAATATAAGATCACCGACGAAACAACATTCAGATATAAACTTCTTATATCTGAAATTGTAGGTGTCTTGGTATGCTTTTAACCTAGTAGCTATGGTTTTATTTTGCAGTTTGAGAGCAAGGCAAGACATGGATATGGGTATATATATATGTTGCCGTTTGACATCTGGATTTTAATTTTATATATATATATATATATATATATATATATATATATATATATATATATATGTTACTTCAACTCTTCATTTTTCTTGAAGTTCTCTTATTCTTCGTTTGTGTCCAACGCATATTTAGACATGGATATGGGTATATTATCCTCCAAAGACCCTCCAAAAACACGGAAAAACGTTTAGAATATGAGCATACCAATGTCAGAAAATACCTGCACGCACTCACTCACACTCGATTCCGAGTAAACATTGATTCCATCCTTTTATTCATACATTGTTGCTACATTGAACTGTTCTGCTACACTTTTTCCTGTTCCTTGAAGCATCCGTGTTCGACCTCTGTGTCCTACACATCTGGATATGGGTATATGGGATATAACCCTCCAAATGTATGAAAAAACTTGGAAAATTTGAAAATACCCATGTCAGACACATACTCGTACCCGACACTCAAACTTGAGTCCGAGTAACAAAGCCCTCGGAATATAAGATCACCGACGAAACAACATTCAGATACAAACTTCTTATATCTGAAATTGCAGGTGTCTTGGTATGCTTTTAACCTAGTAGCTATGGTTTTATTGTGCAGTTTGAGAGCAAGGCAAGACATGGATTACCGTTCTCGAGAAAATTTTAATCGAACTATACATTCTTTTGTCTTCTAAATTTTCTGGTGTTATACAGGGGATGGATGACAAAGTTGTCCCACCTTCGATGACCGATTTCGTTCATAGGGTTCTGCCAAGTGCTGCAGTGCATAAACTCCCGTACGAGGGTCATTTTACGTATTTATACTTTTGCGACGAATGCCATCGACAGATTTTTACCACACTTTTTGGAACTCCTCAAGGACCTCTCGCTCTCGTCGATACTATACAAGTAGAACAAACAGCATTGGATGATGCAGAATTGGAAAACGAAAGCCAGGGTGATTTCAAGACAGATTGAGATACCAAAGTTCTCTACAATAGGTATGAGTTTTGAGGTGTAAGATTGTATATAGCATAGGTTTGTTCCATTGTTATCAGAAAATGGTTAGAGGAATATAATTTTCTTATATGTTTATGTGTCTATGGGATTGAGATCAGAGAAACTTTTTTGAAGATGTTGGCTGCCTACGATGGAAATAAATAGATTAGCCCGCGGTGTTTATAAGGTAGTATCTTTTTATCTTTTTTTTAGTATATTAAAACACATATCTCATAGACGTAGTTGTTCGGATTCAGATTCTTTCTATTATTACGGAGATCATTCGATATCTCTATTGTTATTGGGATCATTCAATGAGTCCATGCAAAAGTATCAACTATTTTAGGTTTTTAGTCTAGGATTACGAATAAAAAAAATTCTTCACGAGAAAGCCTCGAAAACTTCACTTACAAGAAAACCTAGTAGAACTTCACTCACCCTCTAGATTCACATGCATTCATGAAAAAGTAAATAATATATTTTTATTATTTAATTTAAATATTTTTATAAATGTAAAAAGGTGATAATATTCTTAAAGTATCATTTATTATATTTTATAACTATATTTATTTGATATTTTTTAATTTAATTTAATAAATGATAGTATAAATTTTTAAAGATAAGCTAACTCTTCATTTGCTATATATATATATATATATAAAGTAAAACTCGATTTAGAAAAGTTAGAATTTTAAACTTGATGTTGAAAAACTTGACTGGATTTTATTCTACTTTATTAAAAAAATTTAAGATTTATTAACTTTTAAGTATATAGTGGATTAATTTTAAAATTTGAATTTAATTCTTTAAATCTGTGTAATATATGTATATTACAATGAGAAAAATAAGAATATATATATATATATAACTATAATAAATTATTAAAATTAAAATTAATTGATATCATAATATTATAAATATTTATAATTAAATTTAAATACAAAATTAAATATTCGACTGATAAAAAAAATTCAAATAAAATTCGTTAATTCTACTCGTTATATGTCCTAAGTGATAGTATATCTCACCAGATTTAAACTATGTCTAAACTGTAATCCGCCACCTACACCCTCAAACCATGCATGGATTCCACGCGTCTCCCTTCACCCTCTCCTCTCCTCTACATATACCCCCTCCTTTTCAACTCTAAACCAAACCACTGCCAAAAATGGGTAAAGGATTGAGCTTTTTGCTACTAGCCCTTTTTCTCTGCCATGCGTTGACAGTGACAACTGGGTACGAAGGCGAGAAACAATGGCGGAAAGAAAGAGAAAGGGAGGAAAGTGAACAAGAAGAAGAAGAAGGTGGTCGACGCACCGATGACATCTTCTTAATGCGAAGATCAACACGTGTGATTCGAACCGATGCCGGAGAAATGAGGGTGGTGAGAAGCCCCGGAGGGAGGATTATGGAGAAACCACTGCACATTGGGTTCATTACCATGGAGCCTCAGTCGCTTTTCATTCCCCAGTATCTCGATTCCAGTTTGATCCTCTTCGTTCGTACAGGTATGTATCATGTATACCCTTTCCTTGTTTTGTTCCATTGATGACTTGAAAGTCGGGATTTAAATTGTGGTCGTGTTTTCGGTTGTGATTTTATGGTCGTACAATAATGGTTCTGGACTGCATCTGTACCGCTATATAACTGTCGTTTTTAAAATAGCGAATGGCTATTTAAATCCCTGCTTGAAAGTACTGATGGGGGTATTCGAATGGATGCAGGAGAAGCCAGGGTTGGCTGCATTTACGAGGACGAGATGGTCGAAAGGCGACTGAATATCGGCGATGTGTTTCCAATCCCTGCTGGTTCAGCGTTCTACATTTTGAACCCTGGTGAAGGGCAAAGGCTTCACATTATCTGCAGTATTGATCCATACGAGAGTTTGAATTTAGATACTTTCCAGGTTAGATTCTCTTGGTTTCATCCAAGTGATCATCATCAAAATTGTTGAATTTTTTGATTGCATGCAGTCTTTCTTCATCGGCGGTGGAGCGTATCCGGCGTCTGTCCTTGCTGGTTTTAGCCCCGAAACTCTTTCTTCAGCCTTCAATGTAAGCAAAAATACATGTTATCTATATAACCAGCATTCAGAAATCAGATGATCTTTGTGGTTCTCATAATGCACATAATTACAGGTCTCGGTGTCGAGATTGACGGAATTTTTGAGCAGGCAAAAAGATGGGCCAATTGTGCATGTTGCGCCATCTCATGCACCGAGCATTTGGACCAAGTTTTCTCAACTTAAAGAGGAAGATAGACTGAAGAAAGTGAAGAGAATGGTCCTAGGAGAAGTTGAGCAAGTGAAAGAATGGTCGTGGTGGAATCTCTTTGGCATGTTATCTGGGAATGAAGAAAATTTGTTTAAGGATAAAGCACCGGATTCATACAACATCTACAAGAGAAGCCCCGATTTCCGGAACAACTACGGGTGGAGCGTCGCGGTCGATGGTTCGGTTTACAAGCCTCTCAAAGACCATGGCACTAGCATTTACCTTGTCAATCTCACAGCGGTATTGTCTACCTTGAAATCCGAATTTATTGATGTTACTTTTTCATTTTATTAGTTGTGTCCATCCTGTGCGTAATCCCTCACTAATTTTCACTAATATTTTTGGATCGGTCAGTGAAGTGATTATATAAGTCTGATTATATAAGTAAGTTGGTCTACGATTTCAGGGATCAATGATGGCACCACATGTGAATCCAAGAGCAACAGAGTATGGCATTGTGTTAAGGGGAAGTGGTAGGATCCTGATTGTGTTTCCAAATGGGACTTTAGCCATGGATACCAAGGTAAGAGAAGGGGATGTGTTTTGGGTACCAAGGTACTTTGCTTTCTGTCAACTAGCATCACGATCGAGCCCGTTCGAGTTCTTCGGGTTCACGACATCGTCGCACAAGAACATGCCTCAGTTCCTTGTGGGTGCGAACTCCCTTCTTCACACTTTCAACACACCGGAGCTCGCGGCTGCGTTCGGCGTATCGGAGGAGAGGATGAGGCGTTTCATCAATGCACAGAATGAAGCTGTGATACTCCCGGCAGCACCTGGCGGCGGTGATGAGGACGAGGATGTGAAGAGGGCGGTCAAGTTCCGCAATGGTATGACAATGGGGTTTGATTAAAGTGTATTTTGGGTTTAGGAAGTTTCTTGTTCTTCTCTGTTGGTTTCTTGGTCTTTTGTTTGTTGTGTTTAATGTTTTTTATCTCCTACCTTCTCCTATTTAAGTCTTCTTCTTCTTCTTCTTGTCTTTCAATGATGGAATAAAATCAATCACCATGTTCATCCTTCTGCCCTTACAATGATCAGCTTCATTACATATTAGTTTTTAAAAACTACTAATAATCTAGGACTTTATGTAAGCCTATCTTTAGACGAAGGGGATGATAAGGAAACTTAAGGTCAAAATGGAAATCATACAAAACTTTAGGGCCCAAATTATCTATTAAATATTTTTTTAAATGCCTCAACTTATTACAAGTGGACATGTCTCTTTTATAGCCAACTCCATTGTAGAGCTACCCTGCATTAAAAAAAAATTAACAACGGCAAATATACAGGATTTACAAGTATAACATTAAACTAAAATATAATTAGTTTCGTCCATATTTTTTTTATATATTATATAATTTTGAAAACATTTTGAAAATATATGATATATAGTTTTTAAAACATTTTAAAAACATTTATATATTATATAGTTTTAAAATGTTTTTGAAAAGAAATATAATATATAGTTTTCAAAACATTTTTGAAAATATATATATTATATAGTTTTTAAAACGTTTTGAAAATTAATATATAATATATAATTTTTTGAAAAACATTTTGAAAGCATATATAATATGTAATTTTTAAAACATTTTTAAAAATTATATGGTTTTTAAAAAAACATTTTTGAAAATTATATAGTTTTTTAAAATGTTTTTTTTAAATTTATATATAATATATAGTTTTTAAAAGAAACAGTTTTAAAAATGTATATTATATAGTTTTTATATTTATTATTATTATTATTATTATCATTATTTATTATTATTTTTTATTACTTATTTTATTTTATTTTTTTCCCGTTTTAGGTCCAAATGGGTCAACTGTCCAGTCCAACAAGTCACGGTCAGAGTCCAAACACAGATGGCCCTGATCTAGCCTGGTAAGTTTAGGGTTTAGAAACCCTGAATGATATCAGTTTCAACGACGCCGCAAAACCGGGGAGATGAACGGTCAACAGTGCCAACGACCGGTCGAAATCCCCGGGACTGACCCATCCCGGGGTGACCGGCCACGAGCACCCTTATTTCGGAACCGACAGGCCTCCGATGGGGGTATAAATACCCCCACCAAGCCACTGTCATGGGGGGACCCCCGAGCATCAAGTATCACCGAGAACATCAACCAAACACACGGCCAATAGAAAACCAGAGTACACAACAGTTAGCCAAACGGCAGAACCCAAAACACAGAGCCATCACAAACGATAGTACACCGAGAGAAACCATAAAAACAGTACCAAAATACTGCCAACGAATCGAAATCACAAGAGAAATCCAACCTCAAAACAATAAACACAACAAAGCCAAGCAAAACAACAGACAAAGAGCCTCAGGAAGTAGAAAAGCCGTGGAGGAAGGTAAAAACCCGAAAGGTTTTTCTTAGATCTACGCCGGTAGGGGTAAGTTTTGGTGTTTTAAGTTTCAGATTTGGGTGTACGGGGTTGAGGAGAGTTTGTGGGTTGAGTTTGGTTTTGCCGGCCGCCGGAAGTGGCAGTCGACGGCGTTAGGCGGGGCGATCGATCTCCATCCGGTTGAAGAGGGCTAGAGAGAGGCGAGAGAACCTGAGGTTCTCTCTTTTTGTAGAGGGAGAGAGCTATTAGTGAGAATGAAGAGGTGGGACGTTTTGGCCTTTGAAGCATTTATTTATATTAAATACGAAACGGCGCCGTTTTACTGAGGACCATTGGGCAAATACGGGTTTCTTAAATTCATTCCGCAGTCCCTGGTGTTTTGATTCGCTTTACAATATGGTCACTGTATGCAATTTAGCCTTTGGATTTTCGATTTATTTGATTTAGTCACTGTTTACACTTTTTATACTTTGCGAATTAACTCCCTAATTTTGTTTATTTTCTATTGCAGTCCACTTTTTTTCATTTCAGTCCATAAATTTCAATCTCATTCATTTTGATCCTTTTTTGTTTTTATTTATCTTTTTTTTTTATTTTATTGTAGGTATTATACTATCTTATTTATTTATTTATTTTATTTTTCTTCTAACTCATTTTTTGTTCTCTTTAATTTTTTTACTTTTTATTTATTTCACATTTATTATTATTATTATTTATTATTATTATTTAGTTTTTACTAATGTTTTTTTTATTGAAGTACTCCAATCGATCAAAGGTAAGTAATTCGAATCGAATGTTTTAAATTTCAATTCAAATTTTAATTTTCGCAATTAAAGACAACCGGTAAATTAATCGGTATCAAAAGGGCGGTTCAAGGGTGCTAATCCTTCATTGACCGTAACCGACTCCCGAACCCGACACGTTTCTGGTACAACGAAGATCAGGTAAGATGGTGTCCGACCCACCTAAATTCGTTTTAAATTGGTCGGTGGCGACTCCAAATCATTTTTCCTAAGTCGAAGCCCAATTCCGGGGTCCAACCGAAAGACGGCTCCGATAGCTTGGCGACTCCACTGGGGACGTAAGTGAGTCAGGCCAAAATTAATTTTCGTTTGTCTTTTTTAGCGAAAGTTATAAATTTAAATTTAAATTTATTTTATTTATCTTTGATTATTTTTCAAATAAATAGTTGTACTGATGTTTTTTAATGATTTCAGATTTTTTTCAAAATTGTCATCTCTAAACTCTAAACCCGAGCTCCGAACCCATTTTAAGTGGGGGTGAAAGCAACGCATTCGTGTGAATTTATTCACCGCATATGCCTAGCAAGTAGCCTTCGGGATTCATATACCTTACGTCTTCGTGTGAATTTATTCACCGCACAGACATAAGGGAATGTGTCCTCTCGAGTTTAACTTAGTCCATGCAAGCTTGTAATGGGCTTAGGACTAAGGGTCTGGCAAGCTCAAGGGAGCACCGGCAAGGGGAACTCGAGTACCTTTTTAGAACCTAAACCGAGAGAGTACAGGGAATTAAAGCCTACCCCAAGACCTCATTCCAAACCCTAGGATGCTTTGTTTCCTGCTTTATTTTCTGTTCAAAGCATGCGAACTAGACAAATAAACGGTTAGGATTTGTTTGAAATTAGCATGCGGGATAGAGATCATGTCCGGGTAGGAATTAAAGCATGCAGAGTAGATATCATGTGGGGCAGGATTTTTCATTTTTTTTATTGTTTTGATTTACCTCACTAACCCTTTTATTTTTTGTTCTCTTTTATTTTGTGTTCATCGTTTGCATCATTTAAAACGATGTGTTGATCCACCAAAAATGTGTTTGTTAAACATGAATAATTTGTATTAATGGACAAAGGGGTTATAATACAAAGAGATAAAAAGCTCAGAAGTCCAGCCGTGGTTAAAGAATACTCAGAGGCAAAGGTTGCAGGGGCAAGACGAGGAAAATGTTGCTGACCTAGACGCTCCTTTTGAAAACTACGATAACAAGTGGCGGAACCCCAGCTAAGCTGCAGACCATTATTGACGAATTCTAGAAACAAGTCGATAAACTTCGGATAGAGGGCTCCAATGGCACTTTCGTTTGGATCAAGCTTGACATAGAGTGAAAGCCGGAGATGCAACCCTTCGAGACCCCTTTTGAGGCAAGCAGCCCATCACCTGCACAAGTTTAGCCAAAGGAGCCGGAATGGTTCGACAGGATATTCAACCAGTGAAAAAGACGAATCAACTTGTCAGAAGCTGTGCAGGATTTGTACCATTAAAAAAGTTTTTGTCTCTTCAGACGTAACACTTTTGTCACCAATAAGGGTTATTCAGAATAACAGTCACATTTTTTGGATCAATGCCTCGGACATTTCATGCATCATATATTTAGACATTTTGCATTTTTATTTTCTTTGCATTTTGTTATTTTCTTTGCATTCACATTAACTAACATAAACATGTCTCATCAAAGGGAGAAAATACTGGATACACCGCCTCAAGCATTGGACACACCCCATCCGCATAACACTCGTTTGAAGAAGAAGAAGATGGAAGCCAGAATTATACAAATCGAGGAGAATATGTTGAAACTACAAAAAGAGCTAGAAGATAAGATAAACCAAAATAGTCGAAATACTCTAGAAACAATCACAAAGAACCAAGAGTCCTTGGTTGATCAGATCGTTGCCAAGTTAGTTGGCCTACAACAGACCAGTGCGCCTGGGGCAGGTTCATCGGAAGGGGTAACTATACAACCTACCCCACAAGTGGTTATCTCACCTGAAATCTTACCAGAACTTCGAGGGGACTCATCTGCGGCAAAAGCAAAGCCCTCGTCCTCTATATTTAACCCTAAGAACAATCCGGGTTATTACCATGTACCGGATTTGGACGAAGAGGACAAAGCGAGAAAGATGGAGGAAAAAATCAAACAATCGGAGGACCAAATGAAGGTAGTCAAAGGAGACCATGACTACCATGAAATCGATGTCGCGGAACTCAGTCTAGTCCCAGACTTGGTTCTTCCTCCGAAATTTAAGTCCCCGGAATTCGAGAAGTTTGACGGAAACAGTTGTCCATCCGCTCACATCACCATGTTCTGCCGAAAGATGACAGGATATGGAGGAAACGACCAACTCCTGATCCACTGCTTCCAGGAGAGTCTATCGGGCTCAGCCATTCGGTGGTACAACCAGCTGAGCCGATCAAATATCAAAACCTGGAAGGACCTGGCCAAGTCATTTCTAGAACAATACAAGCATGTCAATGACATAAGGCCATATCGAGTTACGCTACAAAGCATGGAAAAGAAGCATAACGAGAGTTTTAGGCAATACGCACAAAAGTGGAGGGACTTGGCTGTGCAAGTTCATCCACCGTTGGATGAAATAGAAACCCGAAAACTTTTCGTACAGACCCTGAAGGCCCCATACTTTGGACACCTAGTTGCGATCACATCAGGGAGCTTTTCAGACTTGGTTATGGCTGGAGAAATGG